AAGGTAAATAACAGAATCTTGTTAACCTTGCAAATTCAGTTTATGTACTTGCTAAAAAACCAAATATTTTCTTGCATGCCAGGCATGGTGGCTCACATTTGTAATCCCAGGATTTAGGAGGTTGAGGCAGGAGGATGGCTGTGAGATCAAGATCACCCAGGGGGGGCCGGGGAGATGGCTCAATAGGATAAGTGCTTCCTGGCAAGCACAAGGCCCTGAGTTCAATCCCCAGTTCCGCAAAAACAAAACAAAACAAAACACCCTGGGCTACAAAATGAGCTCAAGACTGTCCTAAACTACATAATGAAGCCCTGTCTTGCAGCACAGTGCCTACTAGCAAGCGCAAGTTCCTGAGTTCAATTCCCTTCCCAAAGCCAAAAAAAGAAACAAAGGAAAACTGTCTTAACTGTCTTTTTCCTTTCTTTTTTATGCTGAGAACTAAACCCATGGCCTTGTACATGATAAACATGCACTTTATTGCTGAGTCAACCTCTGGTCTTACAGTTTTAAATATCACAATCTTGGGGATGGGGAGATGGCTCAGTGGAATAAGTGCTTCCCTGGCAAGTGCAAGGGCCTGAGTTCAATCCCCAGTTTCGCAAAAAAAAAAAAAAAAAAAATCAGAATCTAAAATGAAAGAGCAGGGCTGGGGTTGCAGCTCAGTGCCAAGCTCTGGATTCAACTCCCACTTTAAAAAAGAAGCAAGCCAGGCATGGTGGAGCACAGTTGTAATCTCTGCACTCAGGAGGCTGAGGCAGGAGGTTCACTGGACTACAAAATGAGCTTAAGGCCAACCTGAATTGCACAGCAAAACCCTGTCTCAAAAAAAAGACCAAAAGCGGGGGTGGGAGCAATCTTTTATGAACCTCTGGGGGAAAACAAAAAAAAAGAACCTCCGGTGAAGAGGTATGAACAGAATGCAGAAAACAGTAAGAAACATAACAAGCCTTGCAACTGCAGCTTGACTGAGGGATGTCAGAATAAAAACCCCTAGAGACCCGTGAGATTGGGGATCTAGAGAATGGAAGGCAGGCTGGCCTACAATGTCTGCATTTCAGCACAGCAAAAGGGATCCTTACTTCTTCTTTTCTTTTTCTTTCTTTCTTTCCTTTCTCTCTTTCTTTCTTGATAATCCTCCTGCCTCAACCTCCTGAGTGCTAGGATTACAGGCATATACCCTAGTGCCTGGCTCACCTTTTTTTTCTTTTCGAGACAGGGTCTCAATATGCAGTTCAGGCTGGTGTTAAACTCGCAAACATCCTCCTGCCTCAGCCTCCTGAGTGCTGGAATCACAAGCGTGTGCTACCACATCTGGCACTCTTCACCTCATTTCTTTTTCTTTCTTTCTTTCTTTCTTTCTTTCTTTCTTTCTTTCTTTCTTTTTTTTTCTTTTTCTTTTTCTTGTGGTATCAGGGATTGAACTCAGGATCTTATTCTACTGAGCTATCTCCCCCACCCCCTCACCTCATTTCTAATGCATACTCGAAATTGAGGAGATTCCACCAGGGATGATCTACAATTATCTCATTGAGCATCCCATTACTAGAGCAAGAGAAGTCATAAGATGCTCCATTCTTTTTCCACTTCCAACCCTCCTTCCTTGGGGCAGCATGGGACATTCCAGACCCTCCGGCCACCACTAGCCCCCCCCACTCCTGTCACGAGGCCCCAATCCCCCAGAGCCCTTTCATGTGATGCTCAGCTGAGACCCCCTGCTTGTCTCTCTCAGCCCCAAAACAATGTCCAGGCCATATTCAGTCATACCCATTCCTATACCCATTCCAAGGGGAAAAGGTGATGTCTCCTTGACCTTCTTATTCAACATCATCTTCTACTTTCCACTTCAAATCCCCTACTTCATGTACCCAGGACATTACCTAAAAGAATCTCCCACCCATTTCACCCTTTTGGAGTGCCTGCTCCAGCTCACTGCCAAAAGGACCTCAGATTAGCGCAGCAAAGATCCATTATCCTCCTCTTCTGCCCTTCCAAGTGGACAGTTTCATTTTCATGCTCAATCCCAAATTTCCACATAGGGAAGGAGGTAAGGTGCTCATATACTCCCTAAATCAAGAAGGTGGAGGAAATCTGAAGTATTAACCACAATCTCTAGTAGAAGGTTGGAAACCAGAGCCAAGTGTTCAATTCCTGATTCACAGGGATCCCAACACCCTACCCCCACTCACCTTTTGTTACCCCCACAACCAACAAAGCGCTCAGGACAGACAAGTGGAGAAGGCACCTTCTGGGCAACATATCCATCCTGTTCTTTCTTCCAGCAACCAAAGAGCTGGGGGACTGGAATAAGCCCCTATATAAGAAAGGGGTGCTCATTTGCATAGCCCTTCCTCTTTTTCTAGGGGTGGCCTGGGAGGGGCGGGAGGACTCCAGAGAGGCAGAACTGGCAATTGGATCTAAGTCCCTAGACCTTCTTTCTCTATCCCGCTATGCAAGGCCTGTTTTTTCTTTCTTTTTTTTTTTTTCTTTCTTTCTTTCTTTCTTTCTTTCTTTCTTTCTTTCTTTCTTTCTTTCTTTCTTTCTTTATTTTGCAGAACCAGGGATTGAACTCAGGCTCTTGCTCTTACCAAGGAAGCACTTAGTCTACTGAGCCATCTCCCCGGCCCCTGCAAGGCCTGTTTGTAGCATCACTGGGTCACACTCATCTTATCACACTCCATCACTAGGGAACAAACTGGCCGATAGGCAGCTACGTTAACACATAATCGACACACGGAATTTATTATGGAAGAGTACATCAATTAGTTCAGTTAAACCAGGAACCTCTCAAGAAGGCAGAAACAGAACCCTTCCATCTAAGCAGAGAGAGGCAGTACACTTGTAGGCTAAGAAGCGGAGGCAGTTTCTGAAGCCGAGGAACTGTCAGGGATGAGATTTCCAGCTGTTTTTCAAAGGAGGGTCTCTGATCAGGTGGAAATTAATCTTAGGTTGATACACATTTTCCCAAGGGGTGGTGAAAACAATTTGAGATTTGAGAATCTCTATAAATCAGAGACATAGGTAAAAAACAGAACTCAAGTCGGGGACTTGGGAAAAGGTCCTCAGCTGGCCCAGGGCAGAAGAAACTAGTCTTACCCCTCAGAAACAAACTTGCAAGGGGCAGGATCATTCGCCGCGAGGAGCGCGGGATCGGCCCGCCCTTCGTGACGCTAACCAATCAGAAGAGCCGAGGGCGGAGTCCTAGAAACGCGGGAAGGAGGGGCGGGGCGTCTGGTGGCGGTCGGGAACGGGGGGAGGGGGGAGGCGGCAACATTGTTTTAAGTTGGACAAATTGACAAGAGCCAGACATACACTGCGTTCCATCTTGACCCGGGCTCACCGTGCTGGGCTCCGTTTTTCCCTCCTCAGTCCCCTCAGCTTGCTTTCTGCAGGGTTCCCAGGTCCCCGCTCCAGGGCCCGGCTGCCCTGACTCGCTAGCGCTTCATGGAGAACTTCCAAAAGGTGGAAAAGATCGGAGAGGGCACGTACGGAGTTGTGTACAAAGCCAAAAACAAGTTGACGGGAGAGGTGGTGGCGCTTAAGAAAATCCGCTTGGACACGTGAGTGGCTTCTAAAGCCCAGACTCCTAACTGGGGAGCCCCCAAACTGTTCCCCCACCCCCAACAGGCGGGTAGCTGTCCAGAGACCGGAAAGTGTCGGGGTGGGGCTTTTTTTGAAAGGGTGGGGGTCGAGAGTTTCCTTGGAGCGAGTGCAGGGTGGTGTGTAGGATACGTGGAAAACTTCCTTTCCATGCTGAAACCGGTGTTGTCCCCAAATGTGCAAGCAGAGAGACTCGGGAAGAGAAAGGAGGCCTCTGGGAGGGGAAGCAGGACTCCCCAAGGAAAGGGGGTGTGCGAGGACCAGTAAAAAGCGCCTTTCTGAGCGGGGAGCTGACCTCCCTATCAACCCCACCCTCCCAGAATTCTCTCCCTCTTCCCAGAGTGGCAGTTGAACCTCACTGGCCCTCTGGGGAGGCCAGGTGCTACTCTCACATTTTTTTCTCCATTATCATTTCTCTGCTTCACCTTCACCGGGAGGCTTTACTTACCTACCTCAGGAAAGAGGAAATATTGTCCTTAAGGTGTCCAGAGGCCAAGTGCTAGCTACCCAGGAATCATACTTTTCTGATTTTACAAGGGGACATGGCGGAGGGTGTCAGCCAATCAATGTCAGAAGGGGTATTTGTAACCCTGTCTCATCTCTGCTTTCCCAACCTCTACAAGTGAGACTGAGGGTGTTCCCAGTACTGCCATTCGAGAGATCTCTCTGCTCAAGGAGCTTAACCACCCCAACATTGTCAAGTAAGTAGTGTCTGGGAGGTGTTCTGTCTGATAGAATGGGTTTCATCTGTCAAATCTGGGTATCTCTCTTAACCTACCTTTCCTCAACCACCTCTCCCATAGGCTGCTGGATGTCATCCACACAGAAAATAAACTCTACCTGGTTTTTGAATTTCTGCATCAAGATCTCAAAAAGTTTATGGATGCCTCTGCTCTCACTGGTGTTCCTCTTCCTCTCATCAAGGTGACCCTTGTCAACCCTCCCTCACCATGCACAAGTTGGGGGGACTGGAGGTGGACAGTTCAGACTTGGTGATAATTTTGTTATAATTTTGACTGTCTTCCCAGTCAGCTCCTACCCTATCTTTTGCATCGGTTTCCCTACTCATTATACTCTTTAGCTGTAGGGTTGGGCTGAAGAATCCAAGTTAAAACTCCAGTGAGTCAACCTAGCTGCCTCTGGTGGGAGGGCAGATGAAACTCAGATAAATGGGATTTGACGGCAGTTGGTGGATTCCTCCAAAAAGCCCTTCTACCTGTTCAGTGAGAAAAATAGCCAGTAAGTCTCTGCTGTCTGTGTTAGGGATGGGTTCTTCACTTCAGGAGCTAGTTTCTTTCTTTCTTTCTTTTTTTTTTTTTTGTATTTAGCACAGGGTCTACACATAGATCAGACTCGTAGTGATCCTCCTGTTTTCAACCTCCCAAGCAATGGAATTACAGGCGTGTACCATCATGCCTAGTCTCAATCACCATCACAGGGTGCCCTGGGGGCAGGGCCAGCACAGCAGGCCAGGGATTGAACTCTCGCTGCTGCACTCTGCCTAAGGAGGAGTTTAGTCCCAGGAGCTTTAGTCGGCTGAGCTGTCTGGCCAGCCCTACTTTCAGTTTTTTAACAAATATTCATTCCGCACACATTTACTGAACAGCTTCAGTGTGCTAAGCACAGGATATAGAAAGGGTTGTAAAACTGAATCAGACCTGGTTCTTATCCTCACTGGGCTGAAAGTCCAGTGGGAAAAATTGTTTTTAAACATCCAATACATAAAAGGGTTTAGAGTTTAGGGGGCAAAGAGCAAATCTTAATCTGCTCATTGTGACAGAGAAATGCAATCTCCCTCTCTCCTTTGTCAGAACTATCTGTTTCAGCTGCTTCAGGGACTAGCATTTTGCCATTCTCACCGGGTCCTACACCGAGACCTTAAACCTCAGAATCTGCTTATCAACGCAGATGGAGCCATCAAACTAGCAGACTTTGGGCTAGCCAGAGCCTTTGGAGTCCCCGTTCGCACTTACACCCATGAGGTATGTCCCCTTATGCTGTTCTTTTCTAAGCATCCTGGGGAGTGTTAACAAGGTTGCTAAAACTATCTGACCAACAGTTTCTTGGCAGATGGAAGGAATTTCTGACATCTAAGGGTTTTAGAATATACGCAGAATTCATGCTGTCAGGCTAACTGGGTTTAGATACCATGCTAGGACAACTGAATATCATACTATTAAAATTATGACCATTTGTGCCAGGATTTGGTGGTATATACTTGTAATCCCAGGAGTCAGGAGACTGAGGTAGCAGGTCTCAAAACTTGATCACCTCAAGTTTGAGGAAGGCCTGGACTACATAGTGAGTTCAAACCAGTGCAGACTACAAAGTGAGACCCTGTCTCAAAAAACAAACAAAAAATTGTGATCATTTAACTGAGCATGGTTGTACAGGTCTATAATACCAACACTCAGAGGCTGAAACAGGAGGGTGGCAAGTTTACAGCTAGCCTGAACAACATAGCAAGATCTTAACTAAGAATAAAAGAAAATTCTGACCATTTTCCAGGAGGGTCCTAAATTGGGAGTTCAGAAAATATGGTCCCTAGACCCATGGACTAGGCTAATTCTAGGGCATCTGGTCCCATAGTTATTTTTCTTAGGGGAATATCAGAGGAAGGGAAGGAAGTTGCTTGAGGTGACAAGAATTTTTTTTTGAGGAGCTGAGATGTAGAAATGTCTGTGTCCTCTAAACCATCTCTCCACTTCCTACTCTTGTGCATTAGGTGGTGACCCTGTGGTACCGAGCCCCTGAAATCCTTCTGGGCTGCAAATATTACTCCACAGCTGTGGACATCTGGAGCTTAGGCTGTATCTTTGCTGAAATGGTATGGAGGCTTGCCCCAGTTTTACTCAGCCCACTCGTCCCCACATCCAAGAACAACAAAATCATTTCTTGTCCCAGAACCACAGCGCGTTTTTTTCCTCAGAGTAGCACCAAGAGGGGATGATAATAATAATAGGACTGTTACCCCTGAACACCAAACACAATGTTAGAATGTCCTCATCTAGCTTAGACTCAGTTTCTAGTATACATCTCTTATTCCCTAAAATGATCTAAATGTTCCTGTAGTCATTCTGATGTTTTTTTGCAGAACTGGGGATTGAACTCAGGCCCTTGTGCTTGCCAGGCAAGCGTTTATTCTACTGAGCTATCTCCCCAGCCCCAATTCCGATGTTTTAGTTTTATTGTGTACATATTTGGAAGACTGAATTCCATTTGGTGTCTCCTTCATTTGGCCTGTAGGATACCAGGAATGTAGTGAAGCCAGCTCTGTTTACTTCTCCACACCTTTTATTTAAACTACACCTTTTATTTAAACTGTGGAGTTAGATCATCTCCCCTACTCTCCAACTTCTGGCTTTTCAGATTTAAGAATCCTTGAGGCCTGGCCTTATGAAAGAGTTTCCATCTCCTTTAATACAAAAATGGAGTAGGCCATGGCTTCACATCAAGTCATCAATATGTTTCATAGTCCTTTATCTGGATTGTAACTGGGGGCTTAGAGGCAATTAATAAGTATGTCTATATCTATAAATAATATGCTTTTATCCCCCAATACATTACCTTCCAATTGCCCATATTCCTCTCTCAATTCATCAACAAATATTTGTTAAGTACCTAGTGTGTACCCAGCACCATGCTAAGTGCTGTGGGGAACACAGAAGAAATGGAAGACACAGTCTCTGCCCGCTGTGCTCCTATCTAGAAGTGGCTGCATCACAAGGAGGGGGTATGACTGCAGTGTCTACCCCACACCCCGTGAGTGGCTTGGGATCCCTTTGCTACACGTCAGTGGCACCCCAGACATTCACCCCTCCCAGTCCCACCCAGCCTTGGGAATCAGCAAAATCATCATGGGGGAAGGAAGGAGGGGATGAGGAGAGATATGAAGGGACTTCATTGTCTCAGGCTCTGTGTGACCAACCCTATAAAAGGTCCCAGGGAGGGAGTCATGGGGCCCTGCTGACCTTCCACTGCCTGCGGGAACTTCCTTTGTGCCAGGGATATCTTTGATTTACGTCAGTGTGGGTCTTGTCTTTTTTCCTCTTTCCCTATTTTCAGGTGACCCGCCGGGCACTATTCCCTGGAGATTCTGAGATTGACCAACTCTTCCGGATCTTTCGGACTCTTGGGACCCCAGATGAGGTAGTTTGGCCAGGAGTTACTTCTATGCCTGATTATAAGCCAAGTTTCCCCAAGTGGGCCCGACAAGATTTTAGCAAAGTTGTGCCTCCCCTGGATGAAGATGGACGGAGCTTGTTATCGGTAAGGGCTATGAGTGGACACATGTTAGTGCCCATTCATTCTCTCAGGGAATGGCTTTTCCAGAACAAAGGAAAGCTGAGATCTTGAACTCTGGGTCCCAGACACCTTTCTTTAGTCCATGCCTTTCTCCCAGTTAGTACTGTGGTTCAGGTGTGGGAGGAGGGAAATGAAAACTGGGTAAAAAGAGTAGTTTTCCTGACTTTTAGTACAACTTTTGTGTTACTGAAGACATCATACATCTCTTCCTCTAGCAAATGCTGCACTACGACCCCAATAAGCGAATTTCAGCAAAAGCAGCTCTGGCTCACCCATTCTTCCAGGATGTGACAAAGACAGTACCTCACCTTCGACTGTGATGTTCTTGCCTAAGCCTTCACCCTCAGCCTCTCCCACTGTGGTTCCGACCTGGCTCAGCTCTGGGTGATTTGGATCAGGCAGGCTCTCTGATCATTTCTGGGTGCCTTAACACTTGCCTTCCCTTTTTGTCCAGCCAGCTCTGGGTGCCCAGGAGTGGAAAGAAGGAACAGGTGAAAATGAAAGGAAACTTCAGTATTACAGGCACTTAACTTAGCTTCACCACCCTTTCCCCCTCTTTTGCTGGTGAGGGGTGGGATTCAAAACAAAACTGACTCCTTCCCCCAATCCCATTAGTTATCTCAGTCTCTGAGAGCTCTATAATTATTTACTGTGTTTGGGAGGAAAGGGACCCAAGTCTTCTGCTGCCACTGTTTCTTGTAAATACAACCTACAGTAGGAGGCTAAACTAGAATTTTTGAGAAACAAGTCAAAAAATAAAGGGGGGACAGGTCCTGTTGTAAAGAATTAGTTTAAAAATAGATCCAGTTAGCCAAATTTTAGTGTTTCATCTCACCTAAAAGGCTAAGAGATTCAAGATTCAGCCCTGGGGAGGAAGCCCAAGAAATGATTGCCCCCTAGTGCCAGTGTCCCTGCTTTGGGCAAATAGGAGTCTAGGAGGCCCAAGGGACAAGGGTTATGCTTGGGTTGAATCTGTTGCTTCACCATGGCCTTAAGAGATGGCAGGTAACAGATGTTCCAATTTCTTCCTTTTAAGATTTTTAATTCTTCAGTTGCCAGGGATTCCTTCCCTTATCTTCCTTTGAAAGCCACCTCACCCTAGGAGAGTGGAAGCTAAGGTTTAAACATCATTTTGAGAATGATGACACTTTATAGAGCTGTGACACAGTAGAGGCATTGGGGGAAAAAGAGGAACAATTATATTTATATATCAGGTTAGAGTCTTTGTTGTGGCTTTTTTTTTTTGTGAGTGGCTGGATATGTCTTGCACCTTGGGGTTTTGTCATTCAAATGTTTCTTTCTTAAGCATATTCTCTTATGATTTTTGTCCTTTTTCCCACTTCCTGTCCTTGAGTGCTTTCTATTAACATTATTGTAAGTTAGTTTGTAATTCATTAAAAACAATGTTCCTAGTTTTATTATTCATCTCCTTCCTCATTATGTACTGAAAGAACGGTGTGAGAGAGAATCTAAATGTACGTGCTCACTGATCTCAGACCCCTCTTAATCTCAACGCAAAGCTCCCCTCCCATCCCATTTTGGCCTCTGATGCAGCTGCAGTTGGGATGCTGCTGAGGATGAGCAAAGCTGCTGTCACCGGCCCCACTGTACAGCGGAGGAAACTGAAGCCTCTGTGTTTCCTACTTGGGTTTCCTCACAAACCAACAAATCATCCGCCTTGCTGCCCTCTCCCACAGACCGAGCTGTGCTTCCAGAATTTCGATGTTAGAAAAGGCTAATAGCGAGATGGTTGTTAGTGGGCTCCAGAGGAATTCAATATAAGCTCGCCGTTTTTCCCTTTTCGTTATGTATCACAAACAGCCATTTTCTCGAGATTCTTTTATTCACATTTACTCACGATTTCGAAAATATCAGTTGTCTTAAGAAAGGACTAAACATCTTCAAGTTATTTCTGTAGCGGCCATTATCACCACTAAAAACATTTCAGACCGCCTACGGGCCATCCCCCAAACTCCATTCCTCTGAAGCCCCACTAAAAGGAGGAAGTAGCGACGTGAGGGTTACTTAGATTTTCAGGTTCCAGGTCCCTGGGAGAGGTATTTCCTCTCACGCCCGCGAATTTGTCATAGAGGGCGGGCCACCGGAGTCGGCCCCCGCCAAATCCAGGGGGAGGGGCGAAGGTCAGCGTCCTCCTCCAGCCTTCTTTTCACCTCGCCTTGCCTGCCACTCAAGTCCCGACTTTTCCCAGTACTGGTTAAAGTTTCTCTGTGACCCGCCTCCACCACTCACCTGATTAGATGTTTACGAGTCAAAAGGCGGGGTCATGGGGTGTCGAACTATTATTAGTTGATACCTTTGTCAGTCAGTGCTGTGCCGCCCCGTGTCTCCTGAAGGTCGTTCTTGAGTGGCTCCTTACCTTGTCCATCTTCAAAGCTTTTCTCTCTTTATTGGCTACAAGCCTCGCCTTTTCTAGCCCTCGCCCGTACTCGTTGGTGACAGCACTCAAAGAGACCCGCCTTTCTCCAGAGGATTGGCGGATGAGTGCACACATGCCCCACCCCCGGCGGTAGGCGGGTAATCGTGCTATTGGCCGGAGCCCAGCCCCGGGCGAGGAGGAGGAGGAGGAGGGGCCGCAGGGTTTGGTTGAGCTGCAGCTGTTTGTCTGTTCGAAAGAGGCTTAGGCCCGACGGGGGAGACGGAGCCCCAGGTACTGAGCTCATGGAGCCCGCAGGAGCAGAGACAGAGGCACCTGGAGATGAGAGAGGCCTGGCTTGAGAGCGGAGGCGGGTCTGGGCCAAGGCGAGGGATCGGAGTGGCCCGCTGGAGAAGGGAGCAGTGGGCCGGGCCCCGGCAGGCCTAATGGGGGCGCTGAGGAGGGATCGGGCGGGCTGGGAGCCCAAAGTTGGGGAGGCGGCCGGGTCCCGGTTGCGGTCGCACAGAGGGCCGGGCGCGGGAGGCCCCGAGCCCGAGCGAAGATGGGGCCAGGCCTCGGTGCCCATGAGCAGCCCCCGAGAGGGAAGAGCTGGGAAAGGGAAGGGGCCCGCTTGCCGGCGATGAGGAGGGGTCGGCCCGACTCCCGGGCCCCAGGGGATCGCGGCCTGGGTCGCTCCAGAGGTGTATGTTCGGGAGGGCCTGGGACGCGTACTTAGCTGGGGCAGAGGCAGTATTTTTAGGGAAAAGTGATGATTGTAAAGAGAACTCAGTTTATTCTGCTGTTGGGCCGAGATGGATTTGGGTTTAGTGAGGTAGAACTGAGGCCAGGAAAGAAAGCATTACTGATGTATAGACTAAGGTAGTTGAAGAAACGGAAGCAGGGCCTAGCATGAGTTAGGGGAGCCCCGGGAATGCTGAAAGGTGGGCTGAGGAGTACTCACTCTTTTGTTTCTTTCATGTCTAGGTGTGGTAATTAGAAGTTTTTTGTACTGCCAGAGTAAGGGACGAAGAAAAAAGTAGATTTTTTTTTTTCGTGACTGTTCGCTGCTTCAGACTTGGCCCCTACAATTTCTCTTGGCCTTCTAGCTGGTCTAGACTGCGGTCTGTTTCTTAGTGCCTCAGGTCCCAAGTAAGACCTAAGAAGTTAAAGGGGTGGGGGTATTTTGTCTGCTTCTTTCCCACTTATTAATGTGGTCTACAGTGAATACTAACTATATCCTTTGCCTAGAAGTAGGGAATGATTTCATCGTCTGCGTGGAGTAGGGCTTAGAGATCTTCAAGCATCTGCATATCTTCCGACCATAGCTGGAAACTTTTCTGAGACTTAGACTTGGGTGTTTCCCAGGCAGGTGATGGAGGTAAGCCTGCCTGGAGCTGTGAGGTCATATCACTGAGGAAGGGAATTGGGAAAGAGTATAACAGATTCCATGGCAGAAAGCTAGCATCATCCTTGTTCTTTGTCAGTTTCTTCAGGAGCTCACATGTCTGCATTATTAGATTGAGCCAAATGTTAACATATTTGAGAAAGAGGGACTTGTACCAAAAAAGATGGATTACAGAGGCAAAGAAGTGGAGTCCCCTCTACTCCATGTATTTTTAATGGCCTGTTGACTTCTGAGTTTCCCATACATTGGAACCTATTGGATTTTCCCTTAGGGTTTTTTCTCTTCTTTCCCTTGTATACCAGTGTGTTTTATTACTACACTTCTTATTTACAAAAGTAACATGCACGTATCTTACACGTATCTTAAAATATATGAGCTGTATAAAAGTGTAAATCCTCCTACACCATACCTCATTACATTTCATTTAAGTTGGATCAGAGGCAAAGAGACAACAGAGCATACTCATCTTTATTTTGGGGGATGTGCCACCAGAGACAGTTCTGTTTTAATGTTCCCATCAAATTCTGGCCTCATTCTTTTCACATTTTTCCCACCTTGGGTGATACTTTGTTACTAAGTGTGTTCTTTTGGCATTCAATTTTATCTTCTATCAAATTCAGACAAGCAGAGGGCTGTTCCTGAGCTATTACTCTTCTTCACAGACACACCAATTATGTATTAAGTACTCTGCAAAATGCCCAAATAGACAAAACTTTATGAGCAGGAAAGAAACATTAAGGTGAATTATTTCATTTGAGACAGTTAGTGGCATCCCTTTTGAAGGAATTTGATACCTACCTACATCTTCAGGTTGATGGTCCCTGACATGTTCACAAATTTGACTGTCCCTTATCTCACAAGATAGTGATGATACCCTAAGAAGCCTCCATATCTTTCTATAATGACCTAAAAGGCTCTTAAGTTCTCTGGATTTGAAATTGGTTTTCCTCTAAGTCTCAGCCTTAGTGTACAACTGGGACATTTCATACTACTTCTCAATTAATTATATTTGATGATACTGACTTCAGAAGCCTTCTAATGTGCCCAGCCTTGGTAATGCCCATTAGAAACCTTAATTGTTGCTCTTCCCCAAAGGAATTTTTGTCACTTGCTAAGCCAGACCTGGAAGAAAGTGTGTGTGTATGTATATTCACCCATTGTTTTTCTAAACTATGGTCCTATCCTGTAATTTTCTTCTGTAAATCTCTTTGGGTTTTTTTTTTTTTCTTCTTAATTTATTTTATTTATTTATTTATTTATTTATTGGGGGGGTTAGGGACGGGTCTACAGAGTGTTCAAGGTCTCTAGGGTCTTACTACTAGATCAGACTCATGGTGATCCACCTGTTTACCACCTCCTAAGAGCTGGGATTACAGGCGCATGCCACCATGCCCAGTCTTAATTGCCATCTCAGCGTGCCCCAGAGACAGGCCTGGGGATTGAACCCTGGCCCCTGCCAGTCACTTTAATCTGCTGCGCTATTTGGCCGGCCCTTCTGTCTTCTTAAAACTTACCTTCAGGAAATGATGTGTAGTTTAGTGATAGAACTCATGCTCAGCATTCATGGGCCCCTGGACTCGATCCCCAGCATCCAAAATGTTCTTGGAATTGTCTGATTTAGGATGTGAATAGCATAGTTCTTAAAATATTGATTCTTCTAAGGGCTTTTGCATTTTAATAAAGAGCTAGTGAGTGGAATTACCAATGTAGAATTTCAGACAGATTTGGAGTTACAAAAATACATTCGGGGGGCCTGGGATATGGCTCAGTAGAATAAACAAGAGCCTGAGCTCAACCCCCAGTTCTGGAAAAAAAAAAAAAAAATTGAAGAAAAGGATTCTTCCATTGCCTTTGAAGTCATAGCTTATATCTTCTCTTACTTTGCCCAAGAGTCATGGGTTGCTCTTCTGTAGTTTGCTTGTTTGTGTGCATTCATTAGTATGAATTTAACTTGTGAGGAAGATGCATAGGGGAATAGAAACAAGTATATAGCCCATTACTTAATTCTAAAGCATTTCAGATTGCAAAGTAAAGCATAAGATAGTGAAATTAAAATAAGGAAATGCACCAGCCCTGTTTCAGAAGGAATACCATAAAACCCTACATACTACTACTTTCTAAAAGCGTTTTAGAAAAGATTTAGTCATTGATTGAATAATAACTGAACTGAATAAGGAGCAGCCCAGGTAAACAAAATGTGTAGGTGGGTTGGGGAGATAGCTCAGTAGCATAAGTGCCTGCCTGTCAAGCACAAGGTTCAGAGTTCAATCCCCAGTACCGCAAAAACAAAACAAGAAACAAAAAAATAAAACTTTATTAAAAAAAAATATGTATGGGTTTCTGGGCTAGGCTGAAGTTTAGGTTTAGGGGCAATTGGTACCTTTCCAGGGTGTCTCTTTTTTTTTTAATTATTTATTTATTACATTTTTATTTAGTGTGTATATGTGTGTGGCCAGCTCAGCCCACCAGGGGGCGGGGCTGGCTGGCGTGTGGTGCTGGGGGATCGAACTGCGGTCCCTGTGCTTTGCCAAGCTTGTTCCAAGTAGGTGCTTTAGACCACTGAGCCATCTCTCCAGCCCCCCAGAGTGTCTCTTGCCTCTATGGTAGTATGCTATTTTTTAAAAATTACTATTCAGGAATTAATACATAATGATTCAAAGTTTTTTAAGTACTTGACATAAACTGAAAATTCTGAAAACTGCTTTTAGCCACAGTTATCTCTTTGTTAGAGTAGAACATCCATGTACTGGGTGTGATTAGGCCATCTGAGGCATAATAACGGGTGACAGGAAAAGTAGTTAGCTCATATGAGTTACAACATTACTTGTGGGCTGGGTCCCAAGGAGGCCTTCAAGAGAGACCATGAGGAGCCTAGGGAAAGAATTGGTTCTCTGAAGCCTGTTACAAACATTCCCAAATGGATCTGAGTAAGATCTGTCCAGATGGCACAGGAGGCGTGAAGTTGACTGGAGGAGGAAAACAGGATTACTTTGGTCCTAGTGAATTTAGGGAGTGTTTAATGAGCACCTAGTAGGAACCAACCATTGTGCCCTGCCCTGAAGATTTATGATGACATAAAAAATAGTCCCACATTTTGAGAAGTGTAAAGTTGAGTATAACACATGGACACAGTTAACTCATTTGATGTAAAGGCTGATAGAAATAGTTTTAGCTGGTTGTAATGGATTACAAGCCTGCACTCCTAGCACTTCAGGGAGGCTGAAGCAGGAGGATCACAAATTTGATCCTATGCCAGTGACTTAGTGAGACCCTGCCTCAAAAAATAACAGCCCAAGGATGTAATTCAGTACACAGGCCCAGCTTCAATTCCTTTTTTTTTTTTTTTTTTTTTATTTTATTTATGTGTGTGTGTGTGTGTGTGTGTGTTTGGCCAGCTCAGCCCACCAGGGGGAGGGGCTGGCTGGCATGTGGTGCTGGGGGATTGAACCGCGGTCGCTGTGCTTTGCTAAGCTTGTTCTAAGTAGGTGCTTTACACCACTGAGCCATCTCACCAGCCCCAGCTTCAATTCCTAATACTGAAAACACTGAGAGCAATGACAAATTCTGCGGGGGTAATAGGGCAGTTTCACAGAGAAGGTGACATTTGTCTTGGCCTAATTAAATACATTAGGATTTTGCTAGGCAGACAAAGTAGAAAAGGGCATTCCAGTCTTTCCTAGGTCAATAATAGAGAATTTGCACTACCAAGCTACTAAGTATACTTTTTGCCTCTTGGAGAAATTTAAGGGAAAGGGTGGAGGATGTAGAAAGACTCATTTAAACCAGTGACTTCTTAGGTAACACTGGGTCAACAAAGTGAAAGAACTGAGTGCAGCTTTGACTTAAGGATTATGGTGATTTGGTTCTAAACAAAGTTGGAGAGAAGGTG